TTGGAACACCGCAAATACCAAGTGCACCGAACGATTTGCCATTTTCGGTGTTTTCTATAATGATGTACATATTTACTTATTTCATTTATGTACATACATACATATATATATATATATATATATATATATATATATATATATATGTGTGTGTGTGTGTGTGTGTGTGTGTGTGTGTGTGTGTGTGTGTGTGTGTGTGTGTGTGTGTGTGTGTGGTGTGTGTGTGTGTGTGTGTGTGTGTGTGTGTGTGTGTGTGTGTGTGTGTGTGTGTGTGTGTGTGTGTGTGTGTGTGTGTGTGTGTGTGTTGTGTGTGTGTGTGTGTGTGTGTGTGTGTGTGTGTGTGTGTGTGTGTGTGTGTCTATATATCATTGTAAATACTTCACACACCCTTTTTGATCAGTTCTCTCGTATTCCATGACCGTGATTCAACCATGACTGTGTGACCCTGTTTCGCTTCAACGGGCACCTTATGCTTTTTGGTTTTGGAGAAACGTCTTACGCACCATTTGCTAAAAACGGTATGTTTGACGTGGCCTGGAGGCCACTGGCTGATCTGGAGGTGTCATGACAAAGGTCGTTGAATGAGTTGGACATGGAGTGATCCATCGGGTTCTACCTCATGCTTCCAGCGCATTCCGGGGTCGGATGGTGAGGACACGCCTACCTGTGCTGCTGCCAATGGCGCGCAAGCGACATTTACTGCCGCTCTGCGATATTTACGATTTACCAGCCATGATAACAGGATAGATTTTGAAAGATGCTGTCAAGCTGGCACAGTTGCCAGGCGGCTCTGTAACGTCGTGGCCGGAACAGGATTGCCGGGAACGAACAAGCCCTCAGGGAAGTGCTGGATCTATAACACCAATCAAGGCCCCCTGGACCGTGGCTAGGCATTCGTGGCGATCACTATGAGTCGGGGGGCTAGTTAAAAGGAGGCTCGCATAGGTTATTTAATGGGTTTGATACCAAGATTCTCTAATGGAGGTTTGCAAACGTCGTGTTATTGATCCACTATATTTCTCATTATCTTTGCTACATTTAGGCTATATTTTTCGGGGGATCAGCGCTCAGAGCATGTAATAACATGCGATTATAAAAATGTTCTTCCACCCTAGAAGAAAATGTTTTACGGTGCGACGCACAGCTGCGCAAAAGATACAGAGCGTGGTTCCGTGAATTACTGGTGCTCCACATGCATGATTATACATCATCAACGATTCGATGAATTGTGCCATGATAGCTCTCAGAGAGATTCAAGACAAGGTTTCGCATTGCTTTCTCTTTGTCGGCAGGTTTCGTGGTTCAGAAAGCAGGACCTCCACATCCTGACGCTGGGGACGCACAGCTTCACCACCGACAGCCGCTTCAAGGTGAGGACATATTCGGGATCTGCACGTGCCCGCGGACCGTGCAAGACTCGGGCGTCACCAGACGTGAGCTCGGCCAGATCCTGGTGATCTGCCATGGCTGAGCAGTGCCCGTCTCTGTAGGTCGGACCAGGTTATGTATATATATATATATATATATATATATATATATATATATTTATATATATATAGTTATATATACATTGTTATATATAAAGGTTTATATATATGGTCATATATAATTGCTATATATGTGTTTATATATATATATATATATATATATATATATATATATATATATATATATATATATATATATATATATATATATGCATATTTAATATGGAGCATCTTAAATGAACAATAATTATATCTCCTCGGAAATGTCATCCTATCGTCACAAACATGATATAGGTAAAAATCCAGTAGTAGACAAGTTCGTGACCATTATCACTTTCTTCAGGCGTCAAGTTTCTCATAATATTTACCCATCATTACTTCTTGAAAATAGAATCGGTCAACCAGTACCCCTAGTATAAGGTCACTTATTGCCAATATGCCAACAACTCATAGTATCCGAGAACAAACGGCTTAAGGGGTGTTTTGCTTTTTTCAAAGAACTTCTGTGGCTTTAGCGGCGCGACCCAGCCTGATCCCAACAATAATGCTTTTGATGGACTGATGTCTTCCCGGCCACCAATCGCATCGCCGTGAAACCTACAGCAACAAGCAGCGTAGTCACTGAAGAAAATGACACAATATTCCGCACCGCTTCAATGCAGGCTGTCTGCTCAGGCGGCGTACTTCTGCAACGTAACCATACAACCTCTATTTTACTTCCCATTCAATCAACAAACTGTAGGACGACTTGTCGGAGGCGAGTCTAGGTCTCGGTGACCAGGTGTTGCAGTGAGATAAGACTGACAAATGTTGATGGGTATAGGCCTCAAGCGCAACACCCTGAGGCGTGGATGGAGATAAATCGGGCCATTCAAAGTTCTCAGGCGCGGGAACCTGTTTGTTGAGACCGTTTGATCGATAGACATACACGTGGGCATAGACAGGCATTTAGCCCGGCCACAATGCTCTCGCTAAACTCAGTTTAACACAACCACCGCCCGTGGTCAAGAAATAAAGCGAGATGTCACAGGGTGTCAAAAGCAAGCAGCTGAGAAATCCACACATGAACAGATGCGGTGGACCTATGCACTGCTGGGATAGGTGTAATGGCGAGAGATCGGCATCAAGTGCCTGCGCCTCACTCAGTTAGAAGCGGTTCAATGTCTGTTTAAAGGAAGGTCAGGTGACGTCAGATGGCAGGACGGACCGTGCCGAGCACTGCGGCACGTTAAGCTTGCTCCGAAAAATATCGTCGTTGACCCGGTACTTCACGACGGCACGGCGTGGTCAAGAGTCACACAGTAAGCTCTGCTTAACGTAGGGCTGATCCCACAAATCCAATAAATAAAAAATCGTGCTAAATCTTAAAAAGAAGACACAGGAGTTACCGTAAGTCTGGCGGCAGCTCGTCGTTCGTCGTTCGTCGTTAAAGAGCTGATGTTGTTCTGAAGTTTCAAAGATATTTTTGTAACGCCTTGGCTGTCGGTGATGCTGACGCTCCGGGTTGGGTTTTGAAGGTAGTTGGAGGCCGTTCGAAAAGAGAGCTCGAAAACCAAGAAGAGTTGTTCGACTCCATTAGTACAAGGTTTGGTCAAGAGTTTGGAGTGGTTTGTCATATCGAAGCACATGCTGAAACCTCCAGCCAAGAAAGCGCAGTTATTCAATCCTTTCACCGCAGCAACTGGAAAGATAAAAAGCCCAAATTTATTCATTTCGTCGGCTGCAAATCCCCAGGCCTCGGGAAGCCCAAAGCCGGCCAATACTCCAGCCGTGGACATCTAGTAAGCGGAAGATGAACATCGGTGCACCTCTGCCTACTAGACACATGGAAGACAGACATTCCAAAGCATAACCTCTATTCATGCAGGTGGCTAGGTGGCTAGGCTCTTGGCTTACGTTTGGGTCTGCCGTGGATCTCTCGTCCCGCGACGTGAAAGACGTCTTACTGGCATATACATGTGCGTTTTGGGAATGTAGCTATTCATGGATTGCGTTATCAGGATCTATCGTAGACCAAAAAATCAAGCGCACTTAACCTGGTTTAAGCCCGAGGCCAAGTTTGCTGGTTGTGGACCAGTCTTTGGACCCTTTGGTCTCATCAAGTATTGAGCAGCGTTAATTGAGTCTTCGATAAATTACGTTATGCATTTTCACAGTTTCAGCCTCCATCCCTGGTTTCCACGGGGGCTACGTTGGACGAGATGACGCCTTCTGACGGCTACACCGTTCAAAAAAATTGTCAAAAATATTTCAGCATGATTCGCAGGCTCATCAGAACGTAGCGTTACGCTGTCCATCCCGCCCCCTTGTAGCACTTCGGTTACGTTCCATCGAAACTCCCGTCCGCGCCCAATATTCCCTGAATCCCTTCCATGCGTCACGCATTCAGCCCATGGACCACGCAGTTAAATTAAAAATGTACCACAGCACCACACAAGAATACCACCACACAGCGGAGGGACGACACTTAATATGCGTCCGTCACTTTCGACTTCTTTCTTTAAACATTTTTTTAAAGTAAGGGCTTTAAAAAGGGTTTAAGGGCTTAAGAGTAAGGGTTTAAGGGTAAGGGTTTTTAAGGGTAAGGGTTTAAAAAGGAATACTGGACCAAGGGAATGCAGGACATTTCCCTGAAATGCTGATACACTAGGTACCTGGGGACATTACTTCATGTTCATTTTGTACCAGATAGCATCCTGTATGTTGCTTATATGTCTTTTCATTCCAACTGCTTTATATCCTACGCCTGGCAGCAAATATTGGCTGGCCTTTCCAGAGACAACACCTAGAGCGGGGTCAAACAGAAAGTAGTTGCGATATGCGGCAGCATTTTGCAGTTCATATACTTGAAAGGACATGGTGGCTGGTTTTAAGGTACAATGCTTCTATATGTTTGGATAATGGCTTATCTCGAACGTCACACTTCAAGAGCATTCCACGAACATCGTGAGCATTCCAGTCATTCAGCTTCCCACGTCCTGTTATCCGATACGCGCTACTGCGCTACGGTGCGCCCGGAACACAAGCAGCTTAGCCGAAGCGTTCTGAGGACACGGACCGAGCAAAATCACGGAAAGAAACTTGTCGGCGGGTCTCAGTGTTTGCTTCAACGACTGGGCTAACTACTTCCAGGCGTAAATAACTTAATGACGCTGCTCAAACAGCATGTCGAGCTGCCGAGAAACTAAGCGTAAGAGCATCAAAGTTGCAAGATGACGTTTGTTTGTTCAGCTTCGGGACAAGATTGAGTCTGTGCAACACTGATAACATCCTGAGATTCGCGAGGTATTTTGCTGTTGCTAAAATTTATGGTTTCTCAAGTCGGGCCAAGGTCAGGTTGACTAACTAAATACTGATAATCTGTTCTTCTAGTTCGCATAAACCGTGCTATAAATGTGCTGTAAGTGATTAATTGCATGTTATCGCTCGTTATATAGTTGTTACGTACGTTATACCTGATTTAGGCATAGGTTGATCTCACATGACGTCCGCTGGTGACCTAATGTGACCTTTCATAGTATGCCTGATCTTGACTGGCAGATGCCGGCAGTGGTAGATAAATCATTCCAGAATATTTTGAATGACTAGGCCTCCCCCAATTCACCTACCCCATGTTTCTGGACTTAAACATGGTGGTCGTAGGTTTGGTGTAGAAGCAACTTATTTCTTATCTTACCCATTCCCATTCATTTTACCTATTCCCAAACAGGTCCAGCCCACTTTGAAATGCAATATCGTCGGTAGCATTGAAGGCTGCACATGGCATCGTTCTGCGGCTAAACTTCCGGACTTTCCGCTACCCTTCGAGTGGACGCAACCGAATGGTAGCTCTGATTAAAAACACAGAAGTCGTACTCAGTATCTCGAAAACGGATACGCTGCGCCATCCGTTGTTCATTTAGAATATCTTGGCAAGGAGAATGCAAGTCAATTTCTGAACGTTTTTAGTTTTGCGTGCATTTAGTTTCTTCCGCGTGAAGCACTGGGCGCGCAATACGCTTAAAGGCATTCGCAGGGGCATAGCGAGAGTCCTGGTAAGGTGGTGATGGTGGGTGAGGGGGGGGGGGGTCACAGGGTTGACGAGGTTACCCTTATGGCGAAAGCCCTCCTTCCCTTCACCAAAATTAAACCACCGGATATGGCCGACTTCATTTCGGGGCTAGCTTTTCTGATTTATTTTAAGTTTTCATTTCTTTAACTGCAGCACAGCCAGAAACTACGTGAAGAAACATTTTATTTCCGTCTCCGCTTTGAAGTTCAACTGAAGGAGACGAGAATTAAATGCCTGCATGGAATGATCCACCGGCGCTTTCATTCTAAAATGGCCCAGTGAACTTGTTCTAAGCCGATAGCACTCTGAGGCATTGCCATAATTTGTATGGGTTTCACAGCAGATATTGAGGGTACGGTGAAATCAGATTGAAGATCGAAATCGGGTTAACAATTGCTTAGCCAACCTTCGCTCATTTGCGAATGTTCAACCTTCTTCAGAATCGATTAGTGAAACACTACTGTAAGCTAGTTTTGAACTTGCGCGCTCGAAAACCTCAGAAACATGCCTTAACGCCCAGCGTTGCAGCATCCATAGGCCGCCGGGAGTCGGCCTGCGGCTGCCACTAGGCGGCGGTCAATGGGCAGACGAAAATGGTGACGCGTTTAAAGGAAATATCTTTCAAAGCTTTAAGTCATCAATTTGTACATGCAAAAGGGAAAACGGTGAACAGTTCACCCGTGTGATTTTTTATTGATAATTGGAACTGGCAAGTATTCCCAACACTACGCATTGTTGGGATCTGGTGGTGGATTTAGAAGAGCAAATGGAGAATCTCTTTTTTCGCGCCGGTGTAACCTTAAAATCTGTGCGGAGGACATCTCAACTTTGT